TGATAAAAGACTTTTGAACTTCTTTGACTAAAGTAAAATGTTTGTTAGTTAATCATAGATTAATTTAAATTAAAAATTTTATAGACCTCTAAGGGTCTCCACATATGTTTTAAAAGATTACATTCTATTGGTACACAGAATCATTTGTAGTTAATTATATATATGAAAATAAATTAATTTCGTTTTTATTGTTATAAGTAAAGTTTCTAAAAATTAATTAATTTTGTTTTGTTGTTATTAGGAAAGATTCTATGTTTGTAGATAATTATTATTAGATCTTATTTTCCTATTAACAATATTTTTTTAACATATTATTAGATTATAAAAAAGTCATATAAATAATATAAAAAATTCAATTCATTGGTCCACATCATTTTCTGTAATTAATTATATTTTTAAGTTAGTTGTTTTTTTTTTACTTTGTAAAAAAATTTCCAAATTCTAATATTATACTAACTAATAAAATTTATAAAGATAAGAAAATTATGTAGAATATAAAAAAAAATTAAAAAACAACTTGATTTAAGATTATAAAAATCTATTAATTAAAAATAACACTTTCAATTATAAAAAAAAAACCATCTGAAATCAATAATAAAATGTTGTTTTACATATAATAAAAATAAACATATGTTTAAAGAACACTTTATTTACTATAATATAATAATTTTATCACCATTGTTTGTTATAAGTTATTACAAAGATTAATTGTTTAAAAAACATATTATACCCATTACTTATAAAAATTAAAACTATTTGAAGGCAACAATATTCAGATATGATTTAAAACAACCAATACATAACAAGAATGGAACTAAAGATGATGACAACAGTTTTTTTCTTTGGTTAGAAGAATTAAAGTATTATTGTATTTTCATGTTAATATTATGTTTATTAAATATAATTTGAATTTTTTAATACTTTTAGGTGGTTTTTTGTATATTAAATTACAAGTATTTGATCAGATAAAAGATTTTTAAAATTAGACATATACAGATTCTTATAACAAGAACAATAAAGACAACTAGAAAATTATGATTTGAACAACTTTATGTCATTTTTGTAGCATTTACAAAGACGGATATACTTTTGCTATATAATTTTGATCTAAACTATATCTTGACATGATAAAATACAATCTCAATTAGATTTTGGTATATCCAAAATGTGTATTTCAGAGATATTTAATATTAAAAGATTGATCGACTTTTAATTGTTGATTTTGTTTCAAAATAAAAGTATATATATTTGAACTCATTTTAATTGATGTTCTAGCTAACAGTACACAAATTAACAAAAATAATTCACATTTACAAATATTATTTAATATATAAATTTAAAAAGTAAATAGAATAAAAATGAAAGGCAGATAGTCAAAATGTGAATGTATTCTCTGTGAACTCAAATAGTAAATTATAAGTAAAGAAAAAAATTAATATTTTGACTTAAAAATTGTAAGCCATTAGTAAAAGACTTTTGAACTTCTTTGAGCAAAATGTTTTTTAATTAATAATAGATTAAGATAAATTGAAAATTTATATAGACATAAGAGAAAATCAAATAAATTGGGACAAAAAAACCCTTGATCATTAATTAAAATGAAACATAGTGAGTATATAGTACTTTACTAAGATATTTTAGAAATTTAAATAAAATATTTCTATATTAGAGGTTATTTTTGTTGAGAACTTCATATATAAATTCTAAGTTTTTGTTTTATTGGAGTTCTTATATATTGTTACATTCTAAAAATAAATTATCAAAAACATTTGAAATAAAATATGTTTGTGTGATTTATGTATTAGTAATCCAAGTTGTTACCAGTAATAAAATTTAAAATGAAAACAAAAAAAAATAGTTGAAAAGATTGAGGGTCTGACTGGTATGTCAAATGAATAACATAATAGCGGAATAACTGAAAAATTACTAGCGGAATGAACTGAACTGATTAATATTTTAGCTGAATAATTATGAAACGCTGAAAAGCTACTTTTAGTAGATTAATCATGTTTTGTTTTTTTTAGTTATATTTTTAACACGCTAGCGGAATCACGTTTCAAAAACATAAAAAAACGTGAAAACGTGATGAATAACATGAATGGTAAAAAATAACAGAATCAAGTTTCCAAAACGTGAAAACGTGAAAAAGCTGCATACCATTCAAACCCTGAATATAATTTTCTATTTAAATTGCTTAACTATTTTTTTAAAAACAAATAGGTAAATCGAAATAGACAATACATATCATAAATTGTTATTTTATAATGAATTCATAATATAAAACACATATTAGTCTAAAACTTTAAAAAATCATAAATGTTTTTAAAAAGTAATTATAGAAAAAACATTAAAAAAAATTATAACCAAATTTTTTATAAAAAAATTTACTATTGTATTTTATGTAATGTAAAAAATTATTTAATCAAAATATATATTAAACAATTTATAATAAGTTGTAGAATAATAATTAATATATTATTTAAACATTAAAATCAAAATTTTAACACACCTCAACACTTTGTTAATTTTAATTCATTAACGAGAGGCTCTTTAAGGAAAAACTCCTATAAGAGAATAGGTATTATGCATTTTTTAGAAATTAGAAAGTTTCCCTTGCTTCTTTCTAACAAAATATTCGGGTGATTTTTGTATGGAATCTTGCTTTAAAATTTTTAAAAAAAGTTGAGCAAAAATTAATCAATTTATTGAGGAAAGGCAAGTATTAATTAACTGTTATGCAAAAATGAATTCATGGTCAGAAATATGAGTGAGCCTCAAGGGGTGAAATAAGAAAAATTTTATTGTCGGAATTGGAAACGGATAGATAGTTTATACTTTAAATAATTATGTTATGGAGAGTTCCTAGTTAGTGATATATTGCTACCTTTTTGTGCAAGTTAAAAAGTACACTTAACCACTCAAAACCTACTCGTAATTGCTTAAACCCTACTATCAAGTCCAAACTGCATAATATGTTCCGCTCTATCCGTACCGTGTCCCGGTTCTGTAACAACTCGAGCGCTCCTGTTCCTCGATTCCTTCTTCTTCGTTGCAATACTGCCGCAAAGACAGCAACTTTCGGCTATGTTTCATCTTCTAACTTATGCTGTTTTTCTTCTGACACGTCAGCACCCGCACCATCGGATGCTGCGGGAAAGAACATAACCTCAGTGGTGAAGAAGTTTTCGTTCTCTAGTATCTTACAACATTGGAAGAATAAGCTTATTGAGCAAGAGAAGAAAGAAGAGTCTGGTGTGGATGAAGCAGAAAAAACAACTCCTTCACTTATTCAGAAAGAGAAAGACGAATCGTTATCAAAAGAAAAGAAAGGAGAATCTGGTGTGGATGAAGCAAAAACAAAAACTCCTTCTGCTATTGATTTGGGACTTAAATCAGTGGTTAAGGTCTTCACTGTCTCTAGCAAGCCTAGAATTTTTCAACCTTGGCAGATTAGTATGCAGAATGAATGCTCCGGCTCTGGTATTGATAATTGATAATTTATTTCTTATATTACAAAAATTCACATCAATTTATTAAAGCTTTGATTTTTTTTTTTTTTTTTTGGCTGTAAAATATATGCATGTGGTAAAGACGCATCTTTGTTTGACTTACATACTTAATATGGAATTGTTGTAGGATTTGTTATCTCGGGAAAGAAGATTCTTACGAATGCCCATGTGGTGGCTAATCACACATCAGTTAAAGTTAGAAAGCATGGTTCATCCACAAAGTACAAAGCAAAAGTTACAGCGATAGGGCATGAATGTGATTTGGCCATCTTGGAGATCAATAGTGATGAGTTTTGGGAGGGAATGAACTTCTTGGAGCTTGGAGACATACCCCTAATGCAAGACAAAGTGGCCGTTGTTGGCTATCCTTGCGGTATTTCTTTCCTTACAATGCTCTCAGATTATCGTTTTATGTTTTGAGTAGAATTTGTAGCTATATATAGAGGCAAGAAACTAATGGCTGCAAATAATTTTTATGATTTAATTTCTCATATGACCACATAAACAAATGACTAGTTAATTGACTTCTTCGAGTTTATTATGCTTTCCTTGATAGGTTTGCCATGAATATCACATTACGATTGGTTAGCAGCTATATTTCATATATATACTATGAAATATGAATGATCTTGAAAAAAAGAATTACTATCTATATATTATGCTATTGAGAAATGATAATATGTGATAAGTAGTAACAACAATTGCTGTTAGAAACACCAATAAAAACACCAATAAGTTGAGACGGGCCTATTAAGTTATGTTACATGCTCATTATGTAGGTGGTGACAGTATATCCGTAACAATGGGTGTTGTGTCGAGAGTTGACCTGATAGAATATAGCCACAGCTCTACCGAGCTACTGGCAATACAAATAGATGCAGCTATCAATTCCGGAAATAGTGGTGGTCCGGTAATAAAGGGAGACAAAGTCGCCGGTGTAGCGTTTGAAAGTCTATTTTGGTCTGACGGTATAGGGTGAGTTGAGTTGCATATTTCAAAATTGAAATATCTACAGTATATATCTCTGAACATGATAATTAGCTTAATTATATTTCAAATTTAAGGTTTTCCTTGTCTTTTGGATTCAAACCCTCTTTAGAATGAATATTGGGAATAGCTATGGGGCCCAAACTCGGAATTCCCATGGTTTTCAAAAAAAAAAGTTTTAAGGTTTGCATATATTTTTTTTCTTGTCGTCACAAACGAAGGTTTTATAACTAACATTTTTTTTTTTGTTCACTTGCAGCTACATAATTCCAACTCCAATTGTTAGCCATTTTTTAACTGGTGTTGAACAACGTGATGTTAGTTTCGGCTCCGTAAATATATCATATCAGACGATGGAGAATGCCCAAATGCGTGACTATTTTAAGATGAACAAAGAAATGACAGGGATCCTTATAAATCAAATAAACCCGCTCTCGGATGCTTACAAATTTCTGAAAAAAGATGATGTTATTCTCGCGATTGATGGTGTTCCTGTAGGAAATGATGGCCAAGGTAATACTAGTACTATATATAAGTATATATATTTATATATATGAATTTTCTCTTTTTTCACCGTGTTACTGAATCTTCCTCATGTGTACAGTTCGTTTTCGTAAAGAGGAAACAGTAATCTTCAAGCATTTGGTTTCTTTGAAGAAACCAAGTGAGACAGCCTTACTTAAAGTCTTAAGAGAGGGAAAAGAGTATGAGTTCAATATCGGTGTAAAACCTGTAAGTCGTCGTTCACTTATTAACTAAGAGTTTTGTGACATCATTCCCAAATAAATACATAATTGGTTCTGTATTTTTGGTTTAGTTGGTGCTTCACATTTATAGACACTATCATCTGAACAATGTTTATGGTTTTCTATTGTACGCAGGTGGAACCACTAGTTCCAAAGCATAATTTTGACAAGATTCGAAGTTACTATATATACGGTGGTTTTCTTTTTGTAACTCTATCTCAACCATACATTAATAGCTCTTATATTAGTGATTATGCTACCAAAAAGATGCCCAAAAGACCTGGTGAACAGATCGTAATAATTTCTCAGGTTCGTCCTTTTTTCTATGCATTTCTTTTTAAAACGTAATATTTTATACTGGAAAATATATATATATAGGCTGTAAACCACTAGAAAGAATGAGGATAACTTAAGCTTGAGGTACTAAGATCCTTAATAGTAAATTTATCTATGTCCTGTATCCTTCTTAGCAATGAAAGCCTGCTGGGTATTTTGAGTTTTTGATAGAAATAAGTAACAACGTCTTCTTCGTCCTTGGGCATTAAATTTGCAGAAGTTTATGTTTTGTTTCTTTGGCACAGATCTTAGAGGATGACACCAATGCAGGATACAGCAGTACTGAAGATTTGCAGGTAATGTATTTATTGCATACTCTTAGCTTCACACTAAAGCTTATTCCAAAACCGGAATTAAATCTTAGTTTGTTACATTGAAAATTGAAACAGGTGATGAAAGTGAATGGAATGGAAGTTGATAATCTGCAGCATCTATGTCAGGTCATAGAGGAATGTTGCACTGGGTATTTGAGGCTGGATTTGGAAGACGAAAAGGTTCTCATCCTCAATAATAAATCTGCGAGAAAAGCTAATTCTAAGATATTGAAAGATCTCAAAATACCATCAGCCATGTCTGATGATCTTCAGCCTAGAAAGCTTAATAGAGGCAGCGTAGTTCATCGCCGGGTAGTTCTTCGCCATAGCAAACCATAATGTGTTCTGGCCACCGATTCAATAGCAAAAACAAAATGTCGCCATACAAAATATTTAGTTATGTTACTTGATATTTCTAATTCATTGAATTTTAGAGTATTTTTTATTGGCTAAATTCTATTATTAACTATTTTGTTTGAAAAAAACTTTTTTAATCTTAGTTTTTTTATCTAAAACATCTTATAATTTAAAACAGAGCATGCAGAGTAATATGAATTTAAAAGCAATTAATTGAATATGGATAACTCAATATAATTCTGTGTTGTCTTATATATTTTCTACATTTTATTTTTTGTTCTTATACCTAATCTCTATGTCCCATAGTATAAAATGTTCTAAAAGTAAAATATACTGCACAATTTGAAGAGTCAAAAATATGAAACAACATTAAATTTTGCATAAAACTTGTAACACATCTTATAAAATGAAACAATTTTTTTTTCCTCAAACAGCTTTTAATATGTGGCAGAGATAACTATCTATGAATATATAGTATGATGGATTGCTTTTATGATTTTATATGATTTTAGAAGATATTTGTTCTCCAAGCCAGATTTGATTTCACGGTGGCATTAGACATGATATATAATGCATCAGGTTTAAGTTCAAAGTTTAAAGTCTAAAGGAGATCGGGAAAAAGAAAGTAAAATGCATACACAAATATTTACAGAAATTTCCTAAGCAAATTCAAAACCTAAGAGAGAAAAAAAATAAAAAAAAGAAGCAACCAATACTTTTTTTGTTTTTTTTTCAACAACCTCATATTTTTAAACCGGATCACTGAATTAATTAGATGAGATTGAGTTTACATAATTTAGAAGATAAAAGTATATCTGAGTACCTCGTGCTAACTTATCTGCATTCGTGTTCTGTGTGCGTGGAATCTAAGATATTGAGAAGAACACAAACTCTTTTCTACTAGTCTCGAATTTTTATAAATATAACAAAAATGCTAGCCACTCCGGATTTGACACCATTTTCACCAAATCGGAACAGACTATGAGAAAAGTCACTTCTGATCTTCTTGCATGAAGCAAGCAATGCATTGCCCATATCATGGCTTCTAGTTCTGAGTGTAGATGAGATATACTCTTATGTACATTCTTTGCACCCATTAATATTTCCATCATTCCATTTCCTTGACAGAACTATCACAAACCTGCGTTTGGACTGGTTTGTTTCCAAGATCTGTCTGTTTGATATGTCAAACCACAGCTAGCAACAACCGGATCATGAACTACTAATGGAGACATCGCCGGGATATCTGCATGTGCTTCCTCCCAACCATTTGCTTCCGCCATTGCTAATCGTACAACCTCCCGTGGATCACGATCAATATTTAAGAAAATCTTATCATTCTGCATTTTCTAAACATACCATAGTAACCATGGATATACTTTCATATCATCAGCGTAGAGAAAAGTGCTCATGTCAGAAAATGAAGTAAAGGCATCAGAATACTTGATAATGCCCATACTTGAGCAGCCATGGGGATTCAAACAATGTATGATTTATCGATTGCCGTTTGGCTCCACACCTACTACATTGAGGATCACAATTGATGCCTCATTTCGAAAGACGGTTTGTGACCGCTAAACAACCCGAAAATAGCTTGCTATAAAAAGTGTTTCATCTTTGGGGGAATTTTAGTGACCACACATGTGCATGTAAACCACTTACACTTGGTCCGTAGACTTGTGGGTTAGCCACGCAGATAGTGGGTGTTGCGTTCCAAAACATATCCAGATTTTACTGTGTATCGACCAGATTTGGTAAAATTCCAACCCATACTATCTTGTCTCATGTGCTTAGCTGTTGGTATCCCAATTCTAAGTGATATATCCTATGTTGAGTGATAAACCAATTGATTGACCGTTAGCTCAGGGTAAAGACTGTACACCTTGCAGATTGCTGATATCGGGCATGAGTCGGGAATCCAAGGATCATTCCATATAGATATTGTATGACCCGATCCAGCTCTTTTGATGATTCCTTTGTGTACCAAAGGTCTAGCAAAAATAATGCTCTTCCATCCATACGACGCAAAATGTGATCGTATTGGATCAAGCGGTGTACCATTCCTAAAATATCTACCTTTGAAAACTCTTGCGAAAAGAGTTTCTGGATAATCAATGAGTCTCCATAACTATTTAGCTAGTAAAGCAGTGTTAAAACCCTCAATAACCCGAAAGCCCAGACCCCCATCCTGTTTATGTCTACATAAGTTTTCACATGCCAACCAATGCATACAACGGGTTTGACCATTGATACTCCACCAGAATTTTGACACCGTGCTTGTTAATTTAGTAGTTAGGGCTTTTGGTAGTCTGAAACAGAAGATCGCATGCGTCGGAACTGCAGTGGCAACAGATTTTATGAGAATTTCCTCACCCCCCTTAGATAATAGTCTGGAAGTTCAGCTATTAACACGTTTTTGTTCCCTCTCAAGGAGAAAATTAAAAATGTTCGTGTTTGCCCCGCCCATACTCTCTGGTATCCCAAGTATGTACCCATTCTCCCAATATTTGTAATACCCAAAGTACCATGAATCACATCTCGTATATGTGTATCCACTATATGACCAAATTGTACTGAAGACTTGTTGAAATTATTATGTTGTCCTGATACTCACTCATACTTTTTTAGTATTCTTAGAAGAGCAGTTGATTCCTCTTGAGTCACCTTACAAAAAAATAGACTATCATCCGCGAAAAACATATGTGAGACTGATGAACTAGTCCAAGTATTTTTCATTCCTGTAATCAATTTGTCCCTCTCCGCCTTCTTCAAATTTGAAATCAGAACTTTTGTACATAATATAAAGAGATATGGAAAGAGCAGATCTCCTTGTTTTAGTCCTTGTTTAGGCTTTATCTGACCTTGGGGTGCCTATTGATAATGACCTTATATTGAACTGACTCAATACACCATATAAGCTATGTAATCCATTTTCTGTAAAACTCATTTTCCTAAGTAAATTTTCAATAAAAGGTCATTCAATGCGATCATAGGCTTTGCTCATATCCATTTTAACTGCAATAAAGTCCACCCTACAGGATTTGTTGGTCCTTCAACCATGGAATATTTTCTGTGCAATCAAAATGTTGTCCAAAATTAGACGATCTGGCACAAAGACTGACTGAGTTCCCAAAATCAATCGTGGCAGTGACATTCTCAAACGCTAACATAAGACCTTTCATATTATTGTGTACCCTATATTTCAAAGACTAATAGGTCTCAATTCCGTCATTCTTGTGGGTTGTTCGGTCTTTGGGATAAGGCATATATTCGTTGAACTGAGACGTTTGTCTAAAGACCTGTTACAAGAAATTCGTTAACCAACTTAACCACATCATCTTTTATAATCTCCCAAGATTTTTGGAAGAACAAAGCTGTCATTCCATCAGGCCCAGAGGCCTTCCCTGGGTGCATCATAAGAAGTGCATTTCTCACCTCCTCCTCTGTCGCTATTCTAACTAACTCTTCATTTTCCGTATTTGTTATTATCGGGGTTATCTCCGCTAACACCTCCTCAAACATTGTTGGAGTAGTTGACTTGAGAAGCTTTTTAAAATACTCCACCGCTACCTTTTCAATCTTTTTCTCCCCTTCCACCCAAATCCCTTGTTTATCGTGAAGACCTACCATTCTGTTTATTGTCCTACGCTGCTTTGAAGTTGTGTGGTAAAATTTTATATTAAGATCCCTACATCTGTTCCATAAATTCCTGCTCTTCTGTTGCCAGACAATTCTTCATCGCGGTAACCATCTTTTAGCTTTTGAGTTATCTCATTCAGCTCCACTTGTGTCTTTGCATCATCATTTTGTATATCCTTGAGAACTCTCTGAAGGTCCTCAACTTTTTCCCTCCCATATGGTTGATTATTCTTCCGCCATTTTGAAATCTCATATCGACATGAAGTAACCTTATCAACTAGAGTTTGTCGCTAACCCAATTGACTATGATGCCAACCCGTGATATAGTATCCATTAACCCTTCTTGTCCAATCCACCTCTTATCAAAACGAAACTGTTTTCGCTGTTTTACATTTTTTGAGTCAATTGCTGCGACTATAGGCCAACTATCAGACCCTATCATCCTCAAGTATTCGACATAAGAAAAAAAGAAAAAGATCATGCCAGTCCTCTGTTGGCCTCTATACAACCTACACCTTACATTTTGTCCATTTCGTCTACCTTTCTAGGATATCGTATTACCGCGATTCGGAAAATCAATTAATCCGCAATTAACAATCATTGTGTTAAAATTGATAAAAATTGACGCTTGTCTAAGTACCCCACCTTGATTTTCATGATTCTCTGTAAGTTCATTAAAATCTCCAATTAAAACCCACGGGTTTCTTCTTGTTATACTAATTCTTGTTAATCGTTCCCAAATATGCTCTCTTAATTTTGGCACCAGGTCCCCATATACAAAGGATCTGGTAAATAGTATGTCCTTCAAATCGAGTTTCAATATTCATAAGTCTATTATTAGAAAATAAAAGTTGAACATCAAAACTTTTACTAAAAAACAAAGCAAGACCACCACTAGCACCACATAGTTCAACCGCGTACATGAAATCATAACGAACATGAAATTTAAATTGTTCAACAAAAACCGAACATTGCTTGGTCTCAGAAGAAAATCCGGTCTAAATTTTCTCCAAATCTCCCTGAGATAGCTTATTGTATACCTATTATCCAAACCCTGACAATTCTAACTCAACACTCGTATCAAATTATAGTTTCATTGACCAGGCCCTCTTCCTTACTCTCAACCTTCTGTGAGAGCAATCCAAATTTGTCACCATCCCATTTTATATCCCTTTTTTCCTCGGTGTAGTAGCATTAATCATCTTCTTCGACCCACCGCCAATCGTAATGGAGCCCTTGAACAATTTCTTCTTCGCTCCAGTCTTTTGTGGCATCTTTATTGCACCTGAAACGTGACCCGTATCCACCAAACAAATACCCTCATGCTCCACATCCATCATTCT